CCCCCCCCCTCGCGCTCAACAAGCCACTTTTTCAACTGCAAACAGTAGAACAAGCTAAGTGAAACGCGCCTGATAAAAGCAGTTTCAGTCTTTCAACCTAAATAAAGACTTTCACACGTGCATAGTCGTGAACCATTACTTATGAATGATTTTTCTAAGGGGTCGTTAAAAGTCTTTCATTTTGTTTTAAATATTGTTGACATTTTAACGGAAATGGCGTACTTTTAATTACGATAATAGAGCGCCTTTTGTCATATATGCACCTATTACAAACAGTTGTCGCTTCGAGATCTGAAATTGGTGATTGAAAATGAGTGAGTGAAATGCGAAAAATCACATTTAACTCTAAGGCTCAGATGATTCATCTTTATTATCTAAAAGGAAGCTACGTTAATCGTTCGGCTGCCGTGAATATATTACACTTTTGTGATCTCCCTAGGTRAGCCGTTATGGCTTGGAGTAAACAATTAGAAAATATAGAAGATTAAGAATGAAGAAGATCACCAATGGATCTTATCAATTTGAAGCGTGCTTCACGGTCTCAAATTTAAGATTTCAGATCTCCGACGGTTTTTTAAATTAGACATATGGCTGCCCTTCAGCTCGCTGTTAACTTCGCTTGCCTCATGATTATTACTTGTATGGAGTTATGCCAAAAAATAAGGCACTTAGCTTTCGTTACCTGGGTAAAAACAAATACTGCTTTTGGCACGAAACTTTCCTAGTCTTATTCAACATCAGATTTCTAACAAAAGACTTTTGAATCAGTTCAATACGAACCAAAAAATTGTTTTCTGATTTTGAATGTTTGAAAATATCATTATTTATTACGATGTTTTAGGTACAGAATCTGTTGGTCGCATACAAACGTTAAATGTTGAACTGAGAAAACACTTTTAGCCTCAATGTAAACAAACCTGTTTTCCCTTTCGTATGTGAGTTTTTAACAACGTGATCCATTGTTCCACCAAATGCTTACATGTGTGACGGGCTACAGCAATTTTTAATTCAAAACCTCAATAAAACTTGGAAACCTTCCAATGAATAAAAACTTTAGAAAATTATAATAGTGTTTTGAGTGAGAAAAAGCAGTGTTGGTTGCAGTCAAGACTTTAAACGATAAATCCTTTTTTCTGGGATTTTAAATCCTTGACTAACCTTCTCTGTTCGACCATATTTCTAAGGTTTTCTCCCCAGTTTGGTGCTGATTCGTTGTGGTATAAGATGTTTGGAATGTCGTGGTTTACCGTTGTCACGATTTCACTTCTCCTTAACAAATCAACAGGTATTTCTCTTGTAAATGGGACTGCGATAATCTAAAATTCATTCTATTTGACATTATAAAAACTTAAAGTAATGTGTCTTGATTATTTACTCGTCAAGTAGATAGTAAAATATCCACTAAATAATAATCATTAAACATTGGGGAATATTGTAGGAAAAAGTGAGAAAAAATCCCAACGCTGCCACCAAAACCTCATGAACCACAGAAGCACCGCAACTTGTGAAAATCTACGCAAAGTTTCCCGCTAAAATTAGAAATATTTCGGTTCATTAAATCTAATTTTGTAGCCTAAAGTTCGAATTCTTCTCCTCATATTTTTGCAGAGAACAAAACGTGAAAATATTTCTTTGGTCATTTAAATGTCTGGGAAACATGGCTTTGCTATACACATGTAGTCCACAGTTTTATTTTGACGTTTATATTTATTTTGAATTTTAAGTTCCTAAGGTCATAATTGCTTTGAGCGCGGAGTAACGACATTGGTGCTGACCAGTAAGAAACTCAGGCTCCGAGAATTCTTTGTGTGAAGACAAACGACGAAGACAGTTGACGATTATCAGCGGTTTGACCATTAGCCTAAGTTGTATGACACTCTCTTGAGAATAAGATTCTTTGCTTGAGTTGTATCCATATTCATGTATTTTCTCTTGTGCAACCGTTAAACAAAGACATAATACTCTAGTGAATGGCAAGTGATCTGAAATGTGAAGACAGCAGATTATGTCTATTTCGGACATTTTAGAAATTATACATAGAGCATGGAGAGCATGCGATGTTATTGATCAACTCAGAGCCCGCGTTCTTTCTGGTCAGCAACGAGGATATTCCGCTGTGCGTAACCGCAAGCCACAAGAGTCGTGGGCACTAAGAGATCGAAGAAAAAGTTGATATCTGAATGAATATAGAAAACACATATATCATTTGATTTGATTAATGTTGCAGTATTTTCTCTGAGATGTTCTTACTGCTCGTCCGGAATCTCCTGGGAAGATTGCAGTTCCAAGGAGAAACATCATTCCTGTCAAGTCCAGAATGCATGTATCAAATTTCATCGAAAGATTACCCAACCCAACGGCAAAGAAGTCCAGGAGTTCGTGAAAGCATGTTTTCCTTCGTCATTATGTACACGTGATAATTGCTATGAATCAGACGATGGGAAAGTCACATGGTGTGATTTTAGTTGCTGCAGCACGGATCTCTGCAACCAAGACAAGTCAAAGAGCAAGCCTTGTGACAATCCTACAAACTTGACCCAAGGTTAGCTTAACATAGTAGAGTGCACACAAATAATCCGTGAAACACTAATTACTAAATAGTACAAAATAGTGCTAATTAAACAATAGAAAACAATGGAATTTACATGAAATTGTGCTATTTAGTATTACTAAAGTTTCACGGTTATATTGTTTGCACTCTATTTGGATTTTTATATATGCTTTAATTTTATTTTCTAAATAAGAAAGAAATATGAGGAAACGACACATGGTCTGTAATGGGAAAACATTGTACCATAGCTGAAAAGCATTCCTAGTAAAGAAAGAAATAATGCTCAAGGGAATGACACATGATCTGAAATGGGAAAACATTGCACCATAGCTGAAGAGCATTCCTAGTAAAGAAAGAAATATTACTCAAGGGAATGACACATGGTCTGAAATGGAAAAACATTGCACCATAGCTGAAAAACATTCCCGCAGTAAAGAAATAAATAATACGTAAGGAAATGACACACGGTCTGACGATGAGAAACATTGCACTTACTTAAAGGGTATAATTGTTTATACTTGTTATCTTGTTTCCAGGCTCTACGCGCCCGAAAGACAAAACAAACAGTGGAAGAGACTCGCAGCCCGTAAATAGAGCAAGGGACTCTAATACTAATCAGAAAAGAAAAGATAAGAAATCCAAAAAAAGAAAAGCTGTCCAGACCATTGTTCCAAGAGCTGCTCACACAAGGAAAAACAGCAACAAAAATATTAGGAGTTTAGTCTACGTCACTGTTGCTATGGTTTCAACTTCACTAGTAATTGCTAGGCACTAGATATCGACATATTTTGGTTAGTGTAGTTTTTGAGCAGCGTTGTCATGGCAGCAATGCATTCATTTCATAGGTTTGTCGTTGCTTAGCAACAAATTTCACTTTCTGTAAATAATTGTTGTAATATATTCATACATTCTTTTTTTTTACCTGTTTGGCAGAAAGTAGATAAAGCTGTTTCGAAAACTTGCGTTGATGCATTGACCGCAGTGCTACTGATACCAATTCGTTCTCTTTCGTTTTCCTTCACGGTCAAGTTGACAAGTAAAAACGAATAATTGGAGAGCAACATTAAACAGGCTTGGATTACGTTATAACGTATTGATGCTTATAAAATTCGTTTGAAGCAATTTCTCGAGCTCATATCTCAATCTGAACAATATATCTGCAGGACAAACAAGTGCTAAATATCTTTCTTAAAATTTTATCAGAACTTACATTTGACTTGGGAATGAGAATGAGATTGTATCTTGTGCCTTTATGCAATAAAGATTATATGACCATTATCTTGCATGAGTGTTATCAGTCTAACTTTTAATAAGCTTATAAACTGATTTTTAAAGAAAGATAAAAATGGAGAAATCTTAAAGTATAGAAAGATTAAAGAAAGATTAAAGAAAGAGTAAAGAAAGAGAAAGAGAGCGAGTTAACTTGTGCTGATGTATCGCAATGCTTTGAAAAAAGCYAGAGGAGAATGAGCGGAAGGAAAAAGACTAGACAGACAGACAGAAGGAAGAAAAGAAAAAAATAAAGCAAGCGAGGAGAATAACGCGTACGCAGATCTTAGAATATGTTTTATATCTAATTTATTGAATCCCTAAGAACATTTTGCTTGAAAGGTGCAGAATACCATGGAGTAAAAAGTGGATTTGTACTTTGCTTTCTCGTATAAACTAGTTTCTATCTTTTGTCAATCGCAATCCCCTGCTAAATAATGCTGTCTTGCTAGATAAGTTGTGTTTACTTTTGAAATAATAAATATAAGGTAAACAAACGTATTTTAACCAAATTCCTTACTACTTCTTTCGCTTTTGACTAAGTTTGAAATCTCCTATTGTTGCGCCATATGGTCACATGTGTTTGCGGATGTTTCGAATCATCAACCGCCAAAACCTTGAGTTTCAATTTCTGGTTACTAAGAAAGTGTTTAATGAGATAAATACTGTGTAATAATCTGTGAACTAGCATAATAATGTATATTAGTATCAAGAAARGAATTCACGATGAAAGAAGATACAAGATGTAATGATGGCAAACTGTAGTTTGAATTGCATGGCTTGAATTTTGAAACCACAACAAGAGACCTAACGTTTTTAAAGAACTCAAGATAACTTGGGTGTACGTTCTTCTTATTGCTAAAGCTGAGATCTCTTCAAATGATTTGGATAGAGATAAATCTTTTGTCTCTTCTCCTCTGTTGCCAACCAGGTAAAGTAAACTATTTTTCTGCCACCATTTCCAATCAGCTAAAAGAAAAATCATAACTCAGTCTCATTGCTAAAACCATGTTATTAAAAATATTTCGATAGCGCAAAACTAATCACCTAACCAAAAAAGAACAAACGAATATGGACATTAAAGTGCATATATATATTACAGGATGGTTTTATGATCTTAAAGCCCTCATAAAATAAATATGAACGACGTTTATACTAGCTTTGACATCTTTTTGTCGTTGCTGATTCAATATGGATATTATTTAACATAGAAATTGCGAAATGACGAGGTCATCAAAAGGGGTCTTAGTATAAAGTCAAGAGAGAGATATAAATGCAYCAGAATCAAGCAGACCAAAAATGAGTTCAAAGAGGCTTTAAAAATTTATCTTCGGGATTGTGAGGCATGTAATAGTTCGGGGGAGAAAAGTGACGGTCGCGGCACCACTTTAGCGATGGTCACTGTTTTGTTGGCTGCTCATCAATCACGTCAATCAGTAGGAAGAGAAGTTACACAGAGCCATGACACAAGGGCGGATCCGGTGGGGGGGGGGGGTGGGGGAGCCCCCGTTCAGCAGAAAAAACAAAGCAAACAAAACTGAAGAATTAGATGCTTTTTTATTGTTTTTCGTTGTGTTGACGGAAGAAACTCAATAAGCCCCCCGCCCCTAACATTTTGGCTGGATCCGCCCTTACACTGAGACGAACACTGAGTCACCGACATTAAATGTGCCCACTACATGCGTGTGCATAACTTGATCAACTGGTCACAAACAAATACCGGCGAAAAAAGTTTCCCAGGGGAAAATAGCCTATAACGTTGTGCCTCCTCAGTGTCATGGCTGCAATCACGTGTTGGTGCAAAGCCTCTACGTTGAATACTTAACACAACAACGATATGATAGAATCCAAACTGAAAAATTAAATGTATGTAAAAGCTCTCCTCTCTAAGTCGTTTCTCTATTAATTTTCACTTCAGTTCTGGCCCTCGAATGTTACTACTGTCACTCGTACTATTCCTGGCAGGACTGTGACAAACACCTACAGCCTGACAACTGCTCATCAGAACTGAACACGTGCTACACATCACACCGGGTACAAACCTATTCAAGTGGTAGACAAGTCCATGAGTTCTTGAGAAGCTGTTTTCACACGGAGTCTTGTACCTCAGAAGAATGCAATGCGGTTGAAGACGATCGCGTTACCGGAAGCTGGTGTGAATTCGAATGCTGTAACACAACGTTTTGTAATCATGTTGTCACGCAATGGGCGAAAAAACGAGGCTATGTCATGATGGAACTGGCAAGTGACGGACGCARTGGCATGACATCTGCAGTAGCCAATCAGTGGAGTCTATTGAGTTCAATGTTATTCTGGATGCTTATGCACTAAATAACGTGACGGACGTAATGGCGTGACATTTGCAAGACTCAATCATTAGTGCTTTACTAAGCTTTTAAGTTGTGACGTATTTCCGGGTCCAACTGGGAATCCGAAACCAGACTTTTGATTTTATTAAAAAAAAAAAAAAAAAAAAAAAAAAAAAAAAACGCTAAAATAACGCGATCAAATTGTTTTCAATGATTTAACCCAAGAGAATATAAAGTATTAATATTCTCTTGTTTAACCTCCACCTGAAACAATTAGAACTTTGGACAATAAATCCTGATATGACACGAAGAAAATCTGAGAAAAACCTTCATAAAATGCATTCCGTTTTGGACCCAGAAGTCGTCTTTCCCTCCAAACAAGTGACGTCACACTTAAAAGCTCTTTACTGAAATAGAGCATGCGCGGGATTTTGGAAAAAACACGAGAAGGCGAGTTAATACTAATGAATAGTTCGAAGTAAAAAATAAATGAATAACTATCTGTATGTGGTGAGATTTTAACCCAAAT